TCAGGTTTGCCGCCTGTAAAGAAAATACCAAGAGATACAAGATGTTATTGTATATAAAAAAAAAACACATAAAGATGTCTGAAATTGCCAAAGTAAACATACTCGTATGCATGCACATTAGGGTGGTCCAAAAATGTATGTGGGGGTTCGAAGTAAAATCGGAATTGTTATGCTCTCACCCATAAGCGAACCCCATTTTTTTTTTATTTTGAAATCAAAAAATGTTTAGAGGTCGCTCAAAATTTTCAATGTATTTTATATGGGAAGAAACCAGTTTTCGTAGAAATGGTATAGAATTCTTGAAAATCAATATTTTCCGATCGGAAAATTCTGTTTCTCTTCGAGAGATTCCAAATAATAATACCCAATTATTTATCCAACCATTTTTTCATAGTAATTATAATTTATAGGTCCGCCAAACCCCCAGAAAATGCCAGAAAATGCAATGTGGGATAAATAAATAATCTTTCAAAAATGGATAAATAATCAATTGTGTATTACTATTGGAAGTCTCCTGAAGAGGTCCAGAGTTTTCCGATCGAAAAATATTGATTTTCAAGAATTCCATACCACTTCTACAAAAAGTTGTTTTTTCATACAAAATACATATGTACCGTATTGGACATATCTATAGCATCCCCATTTCAAAGTGCTATCGTTCGCCACTTATGTTTAATTATTTATTTTCGGGAATTTTCAATTAAAATACCGTTCATTCTCCACCAAAACTAATATAAAGCCAAGTTTAAAACTTTTTAAAAGACTGCAAAAAAACGCAACAAATTTTAACCCAAGTTTCAAACATTTTTCTCAGACGTCAATGGGCTCGATAAAATTCTATTCTAAATTTGGGTGGAAATTTGTCGGGTTTATTTGTAGTCTTTTAAAAACTTTTAAACTTGGGTTAATATGAGTTTTGTTAGAGAATAAACTGTATTTTAATTGAAAATTCTTAAAAATAAATAAATAAACATGAGTGGCAAACAATATCAATTTGGTGCTATTGTATTGGTCAATACTTTACATGGAAAATTTTTGAGCGCTTTGAGCTACCTCTAAATATTTTTTGGGTTGAAAATAAAAAAGGAGAGGTTTATTTTTTTTTTTGGTATAGAACAGTCCTAAGGGGTGAGAGCATTAAAATTCCGACTTTACTTATTTTGGACCACCCCAATGCACATACTTATGTACATAGTATGTAATTATATTCGTACCTGTTGCATTAATGTTATTGCGCCTGGCATTTATGGCGAATGGCGACATAAATTCGCTGTCGAATGACAATGAGCGCGCCATTAAAGCCAATGAGTTGGCGGTCATCTGCAGTTTCACAGGATCGGTTACACCTTCGCACTGAAAAATACATACGATTAGGTTCGATTTAAATCTCTAAGAAATGCAGATTTGGATCAATGTGCTACTTTTCAACACGAAGTGGTGTGGAAATATTTTTTGCTCTGCCTTTGTTACATGGCGAATGATGAATATCTGTATCTCAATGGTCACAAATCTTATTTTATTCCCAAAATACTACCCTAAAACTCTTAAAAATTTATTATATGGTGAAATACCACAGTTGACACATTTTTTCAAAAATGCGAGTATGGGAGGTGTGCGAATTTATTATCCATCCATTAATTGACATACCAAATTTCAAAGGGATATCTAAAATTTGTCTTAATCGATTTCTGTTTCATTCTGAGCATTTTGGAATGTACATATCGCACGATTAATAATATAACGAGGTATTTCAAAAATTTCAAGTTTGTGGGAAAACGCAATCAAAGTTTTATCAATTCATACAGTTGGTATACAAAAAGACAGATGGAAAGACACATATCTTAGCCATATTTGGGAATTTTGGTTATCTGTTAGACTCAACATATTCTACTTATCAAACTTATTAATGTATATTATAGCGGCGGTCAAAAGTAGATGAATGGTGTTTCGTTTTTAATATTTACAATGTTTTTCAAGCAAAATTTTTTTTGATATTATTTTATAAAAATATGGTTCTTGCTTTAACAAAAACTATATAATCACACTTTCAAAGTTTATACAGAATTTCGAGCTTTTTAACCAGAATTTTTATAAATTTTTTGGGGTATACAGTTAACAGGCTTATAAAATTTTAGTAAAATAAGTGCAAGTTTTGACCGGCTCAAAAATCGCATTGATTTTTAATTGATTTTTCTTTTTGCTAACGGCCTTTGCGGTTTTTTCATATAAATAGCGAAATTTAGGAAAACTGGCTTTGAATTTTTTTTCTTTTTTTCGCAAACGGTCTTGCGCATATTCCTCCATAAGAAATTCATGTTTATATTTAAAAAAGTGCAAAATGCCGTCAACAATACCACTTTTCCACGCAATTCGCAGTTAAACTAAGAAAGCGAAAGAATTTTATTGCGATGTGTGAACATTCTGTCACATTTCGCAAATCAGCTTCAGAAATCAAAGTTGCAAGATGTGACTGCAATTGAGAGAGCGCAAATCGATTTCGAAAATATATTTCAACTTGCTCGTGCTGCACTACCAATCTGCAATTGGCCTTTCGGAAATAAAAAACCTCTTTCGAAAGACAATTTGCATGCAAGATGTGACTACTCATGCGACTGGTTTCTGAAATTTCTCGCTGACACGCTCTTGACAAATGCATATGTAAGTATGTATGTAATCCCATTTAAGCAGAAAGCAGCTCCTTTTTCATACATCCATATACGTACTATAATTATGTACATATGTGTGTATATATCATACATATATATTTCACTTACCTCTTTGAGTACATCAAGCAACAAACGCTCGGGGACATTATCAAAGACGCCATCTGTGGCCACCAATATAACGTCGCCTTCTTTCACGGAAAAGCTAAGAGTATCCGCCGAATCCGGACTGTCGCTTAGCACATTATGGCCATGTCCCGGGGGCGGTAGCGATAACTGAAATGGTGTATTGAAGTAATGTTGCTGTTCTTCGGACTTGTGGATGATTTCACCCTTTCGAACAACCATAAAACCGCTATCGCCGATATTAGCGGTATAGACGGTGCTATTCTCTCGATTCAGCACGAGCACACAAGCGGTGCTGCTGCCTGTTGACAAAAATAATAATTAAGCAAAAGACAATATAAGTAAAACATAGTACATAAGCTAAAAGTGAAAATATGTACAGTGGTGGAATCATAAATAGGGACACGACATTTTAACAAGTTTTCCCTATTTTTCTTTTATTTTTTTTTTGTATTTATTATTTTTAATAAACGAATAGCTCATTATCTAACACATCCATTTAAATTTATATTTCAAACTTTGGTCAAAAATTATAAAAAATCTGCAAAATTGCATCTAAATTTTCAGCTTTTTAATCAGATTTTTTTGAGTATGCAGTTTTATAGCCCATTAAATTTCAGTAGAATGAAGTGTAAGTTTTAAGTTGCATTTTCCTCCATACAAATTGTGTATGGAAATAGTGCTAATACATTCAGAATAAAAACTATCAAAAATCAACGGGATTTTTAAGGAACTTCAAACTTGCACTTTATTCCACTAAAATTTAATGGGCGATAAAACTGCATACTTAAAAAAATTCAAAAAACTCCGATTAAAATGTTAAAAATTTAGATGAAAATTTCCACAATTTTTATAATTTTTGCAAAGTTTGGAATATGAACTTAAATGTTTTTTTTTTGTGTTAGATAATGAGCTGTACTGTTATAAAAAGATAATAAATATTAAATAAATTACAAAAAAATAGGAAAAATTTGTTAAAATGTCGTGCCCCTATTTATTTTTCCACTACTGTATGCATAAAAAAAAAGCTGGCCAAAAGTCCAAATTGCGAAATTCATGATAAAGTTTATCTGAGTATTTTTTGCTATGGGGTTATATCTCGGGGGTACCTTCGGATCGCCTGTCCCACGAGTTCAAAGTTGTATGTTATGATAGTCGAATTTTAGTTTTTGAAATTAAAGAATTTCATAGTCGTGCTTATTGCTTTACAAAAGAGTTATGTTAAGTGCAAAATTCCGAAAGCTCTCATATTATTTAAAAAAATAAATTGTTTGGATCGTTTAATCTTGATTCACATTCAAAAGTACTTTTTCGGGCGATTTTATATTTATATTTTATTTTTCATGGTTATTATAAGTGTGAGTTAAGCCGAGCTAAGCTAAGTTTTATATATCGGCATATTCTACATTTTACCTTACATATCTGTAAAAAATCTACCGCCTCTTCCCGGCCCTCTTTTAAATCGTTATTTGAAAAATAAGCAATAAAAAAACTAGTATTTGTTTTTGAAACTTTCGAAACTAACATAAGCAAGATATTCTTTGTTCTCAGGATATAATATGCGGTCATCAATAGGGATGACAAGAGAAGCGTTATTCAATATTATTCAACAATGCGAACGAATGCGAGAAAAATTAGTGGAAATTACAAAGTGTCCCAAAAAGCGAATTTCCCTACTTCGTGATAGTTTAAAGCCATTTAAACATCATCAGTACCAAATAAAGTTTTTAAGGCAAGTATGAGGTTTTATTGTAAATAATACAAAGCACTAAAGTCTGAATAGCCAGTGGGTGACAGGTAATATGATCAACGGAAATAAGGTACATTAACACTAATTTGTATACTGGTGTGAATTAAAGTCAATTGACATTATTACCTTTCCAAAAGCGCAATAAAGACGGTTCCCAATATATTTTTACGTTGTTTTTGTTGTAAAACTCACGAACATAAGCTATACTAAATTTTAGAATAGAGTTCCAATTCTTTTTAATCGCGTACCAAAATTGTGAAGGCTTTATATAAGGTATGGTTTCTCCGAAAAATTTTTTGAAAGTGTAGTTGGAAGACGCAAATATCTTTAAGTGGAATGAAACGATTAGTGCAATATTTTGGAGGATGCAAGACAAAATATATAGTTATCGATTGGTATCAATAAACTTTGTCCAGTCCTATTTTTTTTTTTGCTCTTGGTTTACACTTTCCAGAAAATATCCATATGAAAAATTTTACTAAATATTTTTGTACTTTGCAGAGTAACGTTAGTTAATTAGTTAATACGGTAACCAACATCGTTACTGAAATGCAAAAGGTCGTAACACATACATTTTTTATGCATAAAACGATGTGGGAAATTTAACTCGATGAAATGCATAGAATTTCAGGTGACGATATACCACTAGTGGGCCTTAAATGTTCATCATTTGTAAAAATCTTGATAATGTTATTTCTGAAAATTGTTTTGGGATGGCGCGTTATGCCAGTAGCAGTCCTCTCGGCGATGTAAATTGGTCTCCTCGGAGTTTCGATTTGACGCCGGTAGACTTTTTTGTGGGGTGCCCTGAAGGACCGAGGTCATGCGAACAATCCATTAATGATTCAGGTCCTTAAGGGCATTGGTGAGACATGGCCAGAAACTGTCTCCAAGGTCTTGGAAAACTGGGTTAACAGGATGCGCTACTGCGAAGCCAGCCGAGGCAACCAATAATAATATACCGAACAGAAAAGATTTCGGTAAATTTTTTTTTTAAGAACCCACTATATGGAACATCATGTATGTATGTAGGTATGTATGTAAATATATGAAAAGTTGTATCAATATTTGGACAACAGCCATATCTTTTCACTTTATTTTCGAAAAGTAAAATATAAAAACTAGCTCGTTCATCAAATGCGTGATTGAGAAGAACAAAAATGTAAATAAACGAAAAGACACAAAAAGGTATTCCTTTTTATTTTTAGTGTGCTAAATATCGCGTTTTGTTTTGATTTGCGTTAGCAAATGCATGTGAAAAGCCAAGTTGCATGTGATTCCGACGATGTAATTGACAATAAACAACAACGTCGGAATTGGCAAACAAACTGTTAAGACAACAAATTACATACATATGTATGTACAGTTGTCCACAAAATAATAGGAGTGCGATATTTTGACCAGTTTTGGCTATTTGTCTTTTGTTTATTTAATGTTTATTATTTTTTTATAAAAGCCTAGCTGGCTATACAACAAACACCATATAAATTCAGATTTTAAACTTTGTATAAAAATTATAAAAATTTGGCAATTTTTCACCCAAATTTCAAACTTTTTAATCAGAATCTTTAGAAAAAATTCTGGTATGCAGTTTTGTAGCACATTCAATTCTAGTCTGAAGAAGTGCAAGTTTCAAGCGGCAAAAAAATTCCGTTGATTTTTGAGAATTTTTTTGGTTAAAGGTGTTTCACGTTTTTTCCATACAAAGTATGTCGACAATTTTCTTTTATATGGAGGACACTGCCAGCAAAAAAATTTCCAAAAATCAACGGAATTTTTTAGCCGCTTGAAACTTGCACTTATTCAGACTAGAATTGAATGTGCTACAAAACTGCATACCAGAATTTTTTCTAAAGATTCTGATTAAAAAGTTTGAAATTTGGGTGAAAAATTGCAAAATTTTTATAATTTTTATACAAAGTTTAAAATCTGAAT